CGATTTCTGATATATTTACTCTGATATATAACTCACGATATATTTACACAATTACAACAGCATGTTACTAGAAACAACATCCTTAATGAATATCAATCTGGATTTAGACTGGGTTACTGCAAAGAGGCTGCATTGATAAAGGTTATGGATGATTTGAGAAAAAAGATAGATGACAGAATGGTCTCACTTTTAGTCTTAAATGACTTTAGGAAGGCTTTCGACTCCTGTCCAGCATAGTCTATTATTGGCAATACTTATGTCACTACATTTCTCTGATGGCACGATAAAATGGTTTTCAACATACGCATGAATTTCTATCTCTCTCTCGCTCTCGCTCTCTCTCACTTCTCAAAACCACTAACCTCCAAACATTTATACTGATCTTTCTGTACCTTTTAGTTGGCCTTAGGCAAAATTTATTCGAAAGTCTATTAAAATCGAACCCCCTTGGTACAAAAGCCCCACTTATGTTCGTGTATTCTGAATAACGCCTTTCCCATATCGCCCATTGCGCAGGAAGTCGGACCTGGTAAGCGTAACAGTAAGAAGTGAGATGTGTTGCGACCGTCTGATATGAACTGTAATTCGTGGAAATCCATCGGAGGAAAAATGCCAGGCCATGGTTTATTCATGGGCGTCCTTACCCACGGAAATAACTGATCGGGAATGTTAATTCCTTGTAAAAACATACAATCCGCTCGTCAATCATGCTGTGTATCTGGTTGGTAATCTAGTTGTATTCCTCTGGCAATGTGGAAAGAACGATCGGGTTCGTCTTTCAGGACGGTCTTTTTGCCTTTTCTCGTTTGTTTGGAGAATTTGTGTTATTTACAATCTAAAAACTTTTTTTCGAACCATTCGAACCTTCAGAGTGATAAGGTTGAAGCATTAACTTTAAAGTCGGTTACAACTCCACGAAAAGCGTGTTGGCTAATCTATGATAAGATTGAAAAATATACTGGGCGACATACCATTACGATTAATCATCTCAATGACATATGAAAAGAAAAACGACATGTCGTTATGCAACAATAAACATATAATACATAAATGGTTCTTTAGAAATATTGCTCAACAGATAAAACTAAGAAACGAATAGATGATTAATATAATATCATAAATAAAATAATAATAAATTGCTGTCGTTTTCTTTTCTAGGTTTTTGTATAAAATTTAATTATTTTTATTATTACTATATTATTAATTATTTCAATTAATATATCAGCGTTTTCTAAATAGCTCACATTAATTTATTGTATCAATAAATGTTTGTAAAGCAGTGATGATGGTGACATAACGAGGTCGGTAATAACACGATTTGCTTTCGGTTACAACGTCCTTTTTCATTCCCCCCCTTTTACCTACTATTATAAAAATAGCCGGGTTATTATATGAATTCAACAAAAGATAATTATATAGATATGATCCCCCTGTAGTTTAAAAAAAATAAGAGGGTACTGCTGAATAGGCCAAAAGATAGCTAGTTTAAAATATGGTTTTCTAGGTTTCAAATTGTTTCTTCATAAGACATTAAATATATCTATATCTATGCTATTCAGTACGCTACGTTTTCGACCGGAATTTCCTAATTTATTAATTTTTCAATTTGCTTATTTAGTACTTTCTCTCTCTCACTCTCTCTCTCTCTCTCTCTCTCTCTCTCTCTCTCTTTCTTTATCTTTTTCTCTTTCTCTTGAAAATTATATATTTCTATTTCTCCAACCATTTCTTTTCGAGTGTATCTCTCTCTTAGACTTTCTTTCCTTTTACAATCAGATATAGAACATAGACATATTTTTCTTTTTTGCTTTCATTCTACTAGTTTCCTTAATTTATTTTTAACTTCGTTTACATGATTCTCTGTCGTTCCCAATAGCACTTTCCTTGTGATTATTTCCTGTATTTCTTTTACTTATTCCTCTCTCTCTCTGTCTCGCTCTCTCTCTCACATAGTCTCTCTCTCTCTCTTTCTCTTTATCTTAATCTACAAATCTATCTCTTATATTTGCTCTTTCTTACTTGATTTAGCTTAACTCAATACTAATTCTTTCTTTTGCCTTTCTGGTTCTCTCTCTCTCTCTCTCACACACACACTCTCTCTCTTTCTCTTTCTCTTTATCTTAATTTACATATCTATCTCTTATAATCACTAATTTCGTGGTCCCCTTGACCAATTAATATATTACAATTAATTAAGGTTTTTAGTTGAGATAAAAAAGTCAATGGCACGAGCGGGATTCGAACCCACGATCTTCGGCTTGATACGCCGCTGCTCTACCACTTGAGCTATCGTGACCTCGATCCACTCGGACACCAACTTCCCATCTCAACCCCACCTTTTGAATCTCTTATATCTTATATCTATCTCTTATATTTGCTCTTTCTTACTTGATTTAGCTTAACTCAATACTAATTCTTTCTTTTGTCTGTCTGGTTCTCTCTCTCGCTCTCTCTCTCTCACACACACACACACTCTCTCTCTTTCTCTTTCTCTTTATCTTAATTTACATATCTATCTCTTATAATCACTAATTTCGTGGTCCCCTTGACCAATTAATATATTACAATTAATTAAGGTTTTTAGTTGAGATAAAAAAGTCAATGGCACGAGCGGGATTCGAACCCACGATCTTCGGCTTGATACGCCGCTGCTCTACCACTTGAGCTATCGTGACCTCGATCCACTCAGACACCAACTTCCCATCTCAACCCCACCTTTTGAATCTCTTATATCTATCTCTTATATTTGCTCTTTCTTACTTGATTTAGCTTAACTCAATACTAATTCGTATCTTTTGTCTGTCTCCTTCACTCTCTCACTTTTTACATTATTTTTCTGTCTCTTCCATTTTAAATCCGTTCAGCAGCTATCATCCCCTCTAGTATTGGTATATGAAAAAATAATAAAACAAGCTTGGTTAAAACCATTTTCCCTTTGAAAATTCATAATCTAAGATGCCTCCACAAATTTCGGTCCATTTTCGTCAGAACAAATTAAAGTGGTCACTAAATATTGCGTTTTAGAACCTGTAAACAAGTTAGGAATTGGACTAACGTAGAAGAAATTAGTTGTCCATGGGTTTTGCAGCTAAAAAAACATTTTGATTGCACCAAAAATGTATAATTTACCCAAAATTTTTCCATCCTAGGAATAAGCACGTAAGCCTAAAGTACAAAACGTTCCGAAACTTAGAAATATCACCTGATCATATAACACGCTTGATATATAAAGAAAAGCTGGAACTTACGAAACTTATGTTTTGAACAATATGTCAATACGTTCAGAATGAATTTTTTCAATAAAAATTATTTACCCTTCCAGAAACTTAAAACATTGAAAACAGAAAAATTTAATAGAAGAAAATCACACAGATGTAAAGATTATATGTTTTAAATTGCATTTTTATTTCGAGACTTACGACTTCAGCAGTGACACCTAGAATAAGTGGATTGTGCCATTTTTAAGCCAGCCTAATCTCGTTTATAATTAACACAAATTTTTACATCTTTTTCAAAAATTCTCGTTGTTTTCATAGTCCTTAGTTCCTAGATGTAACACAAGCTTTTGACGGGGTGTGGCACCCGGGCATACTTATAATCTCAAACGCTTCCTACCCACTCCTTATTACCTTATCGTGAAATCCTACCTAACAGACCGCTGCTTTAGAGTGAGGTGCGATAACGAGTTCAGAATCAGGCCAATATAAGCCGGTGACCCACAAGGGAATATCCTTGGTCCTATCCTTTATACCGTCTATACTGCTGTCCTACCTACTCACCCCAATACCATCATTACCACCTAAGCGGACGATACCGCAATTTTGTCCTGTAACTTGAATCCTACCCAAGCTACCTCTAATATCCAAGAATACCTTGAGCTCTTCGAAGGTTGGTGAAAAAATGGAGGAATAGATAAAACGGAGAAAAGTGTATCCAATGTACGTTCACTTTGAAAAAGCAATCTTGCCCTCCACTATACATCAACAATGAAGAGATACCGACTTCCTCTCAAATCAAATACCTAGGACTATACCTTGACAGCAGACTGACGTGGAATCCCCACACAAGACTTAAAAGACAACAACTCAACAGAAGACTTGGACAATTACGCAGACTACTAGTACCAAAATCCGGGTTGACCATCAGCACTAAACTGATCTTATACAAGAGTTTACGCGACCAATTTGGACATGCGGTGTGCAACTGTGGGGTTCCGCCAAACCTTCAATATCCGAGATATCCAGTCCTTCCAATCAAAAGTCCTCAGACAAACCGTCAAAGCTCCTTTTTACGTCTCTAACCTCACTATCCACAAAGACCCCAACGATCCTTTTGTCCACGAACTGTTCCATTTCCGATTCCAAAAATTTCATACCAACCTATCGATCCATCCTAACCCCCCGCTGGAGCCATCTCCACATATTCCCATCGCGAGAATCCACCACGTCGCCTAAGACGACGATGGCCCCGAGACCTCCTTGCCCCTTAATCCATTAAAATGAGTGCCAGCACTGGCTGGCTTCTCATGGCATGCGTCCTCCGGGTGCAGCGCTGGCATCAGTGTTAGTGCTGTGACTGAGCGGTGAAGAATATACATTGTGATCACATTTGTATTATATACAAGTATATATAGGCTACGAATAAATTTAAAAAAAGTTTTCATAGTCAAATGTTTGGTACTCTATGACATGAGCAGTAAGGGGCTGACCTGTTTCATATTAGTTAATAGTTTTTTTTTTCAAATAATATATACGTTGGCCTATTTCACTATAATAATCATCTTACAATTCAAACATAAAATTTAGTAAACCAGGCCTGACATATTTTAATTTTATTTTTTGTGTCATCTTTCAGCTTTGTTTACAAACTACCAAATACAACTGTAATCCTTAAGGAATTTATAATTTGATAATTTATAGGGGCAACCTAACCCGATTCAAAAACCCTGGGTTGTGAATTCAAAAAGGGATTATCGTATCCCTATATTGAATAATGAGACATGTTTTTTATGCTTTTATTTATTCACATATAACGTATGGGTTATTGGTTGAGGTCAATTGGCTTCGGGCAAATATGCTTTTGCTGCCCAAAAAAAGGCCATTGCAATGGTTGACAACCTCAAGTACTGGGAAAATTCTGGGAATAGTTTTATCCACTAAATGATGCGCACTGTACCATGTATACATACCACTTTTATTACACTTTTTCCTGTTCGTAGACATAAGGATAATTGTACTTTAAAATGTGATATTACCAATTCATAACCAGAAATTTAATTTGTATGTTCCGTCCACGAGCGTGAATTCTCAAAGTACTACAAGATTCTGGAGTTCTGGATGCCAAAACTGTACGACTGTTTAACCGAAGAACTGAAATCAAATTGTTACATGTTTAAAAAAAATGGATATTTACTATGTAATCTGTAAACCGAAGATCTGCCATCTTCGCCTTCTGGGTTTTCGAGATAGGTACAATAAGCTAGAAGGCTGCATTGCTGTGGAGCACAAACTTCCTCGTATCCTTGTACTATGTAGTACCGTCCCTTGGTTTCTACATTAAATTATTTTTATTCTTATTCATCTTAGAAGACCTAGCTGGTGAAGGTGGCAGATCTTCGAATGCAGATGGTTGAACGGACGAAACAAGAAAAACAAAAATGAAAATATTAGCATGAAGAAGGCCAAGTAAGCAGGCTTTAAATCTTGTACAACGTGCTCTAGCAGAATATTGCTGCTTTATTCTGTTTTATTTCGTTTGTTTCGTTTATTTATTTGGACATTGTAACACAACTCACAATGGGTCAAATACCACCTCGACTAATTTAATCCAAAATTTTCCTCAAATCGTGGTTGATGCCTGGTCGGATAAAGCTCCAGGAAAGGTGATGAGGGCCTGTCGAGGTTTTATTTTGATTTTTTCGTTCCTTTCGTCTTTTTTCCCCGTCCCAGTGCGCGGAGCGCGGGATGGAAGAAAGGGTTGGACTGGTTCTCGGCACCCTTTTCGACCTGGGAAGTATCTGGTCCGACGTTGCCGTCCCGTCTGGACTGGAAATGTATGTAAACATAAAAATACGCAGTTATGTAAGTTGGTAAGTAATTTAATTATGTATTTTCTCATGTTTTCATTGTTTTCAGAAATCTGACTTCGTTAAGATTTCTTAGCGCAAAAATGGCCTATTTTAGGTCATTTAATAAAAAAAAAAAAAAAAAAAAAATGTGAAACTTGTGTTTGATTTTAAACTGATCATCAGTACTGAATTTATTTCTTTGTTTCTTTCAGGGTTTATTAACGGACAAAACTTTATCCAGTCTTAGAAGGGTTAATTTAAGGTCAATGATAATTTAAACAATTTGTCGCCGAGAATCAAATAGATTTCACGACATTTTAAAAATGGCAAAAAGGAGGGAAAATTCAAAAGGTGGGGTTGAGATGGGAAGTTAGTGCCCGAGTGGATTGAAGTCACGATAGCTCAAGTGGTTGAGTAGCGGCGTATCAAGCCGAAGGTCGTGGGTTCGAATCCCGCTCGTGACACTGGCTTTTTTAATGATATTAATTTTTCAAGCGGACCACGAAAAATAGTGAATTTAATTTAAACAATTTTTATAATTTGTGATTGAGGAAGAAATGAATTCTGGTTTTCATATTATCTGACTATGGAGTCATATTCACACCAAGATAAATCAATATAATAATTACTACGTTAAGTAAAATAAATTATAGTTTTCTCCAATATAATAAAAGCAAAATGATGATGGTGTTAGATGGAAACGCGTGAAAAATTTCGCACACTCGTCCTTGTCTCATAGTTTTGAGAATTGTCGAGTTTTCAAGGCGTTCTGATAATACTGTGTGATTTATTAACGGAGGAAACTATTCAGGCTTAGAAGGGACAATTTAAGGTTAATGTAATAAAAAAGTGTAAATTGTGAGACTGATGAGGAAATGACTTCTGGTATATTGATATTCCGTAACTTTGGAGTCTTATTCATTCCAAGAATCAAAATGATCTTTGATATGATAAATAAAATAACTAATACATTTTCTTGAATATAACAAAAGAAAAATTCTGATGGTATTGGTTGAAAATGCGTTAAAAATTCTCAAAACGTGACATCAAACTCGTCCTTGTCTGATAGATTGAGCATTTTCGATTTTCTAAGGTGTTTTGAAAATTATGATCGATTTTGGTTAGGTTCTTTCTGAGTTTGTTAACTGAAAAAAAAACTATTTTGGCAAAAAATTTATGTAAGGTCAATGCTAAATAAAAAAAATTGTAAACTGAGAGACTATTGAAGAAATGACTTCTGCATTTGATATGCTGGAGTCATATTCATTCCAAGGTGAATCAAATTGATAGCTGGTAAAATACTGGGTTTAGTAAAATAAACAATAGATTTTTTTTCAAATATAATAAAAGCAAAATGCTGATGGGATTGGGTATAAACGCGAAAAAAATCTCATAGCGTGACACCAACTGGTTCATGTTAGATACTTTGTGAAATTTCGAGTTTCCAAGGTGTTCTGATAATTCTCGTCGATTAATGTTTAGTTCATTTTTGCAATTTTTGTATTTAGTAATTAAGCAAAACTTTATGTAAAATAACAACGGTCAATTTAAGGTCAGTGTTATTAAAAAAATGTGTGAATTATGTGATGGTGACTTCTGGTTTTGATATTTTTTGTCTATGGATTCATATTCCTTCCAAGATGAATCAAAATGAGCCTTGGTATGTTAAGTAAAATAACTAGTACATTTTCTTGAATATAATAAAAGCAAAATGGTGATGGGATTGGGTGGAAACGCGTAAAAGCATTCTCGCGGAATGACATCATGCCATAGATGTGAAATTAATCGCAGAAGAAAATGAACTCTGCAATTTTTGTTGTTCTTTTTCGTCAACCGGTTACCAAAATAAATAAATAAAAATTGGACTAAAGCGAAGCGTGCTTTGCGGTGCCGGTTAACGGTCCGAAAAGCCTTCAGTGCAAAATCTAAACTCCGATTGATATTAATCGCGCCAAGTGTGCAAAGATTGCCTTGTCGTGGAACAAAAGGGGAAAAAAATAATCGCAGCTAATTCTCCAAAGGAATGACGATGATGGCCGAGACAGGTTTGGGCCAAATTAAACGCGTTATTGGAACGCGCCCACCTTGTAAACATCATCGTCTTATTTTTATGCAAATTCAGCCGAGGATCGGCTAAGCCCACTCGGTATAGTTGGTTTATCAGCAGACAAAACGATTTAAATATTGTTTACTTACAAGAAAACTTGGAGGCTTTTCCGACGTTCGAAATCCCATAAGCCGGCCTACACGCGACAACCTTTCAACTTATCGTGAAGGGATTCGTGATCGGCCGGTAGCCAGACTCCAAACATGCGGTCCGCTAGGTATCGTGCGTTTACTGAAAGAGCGTGGCTCCGTCGTGAAAAGCGGCGTTGCCGGGCGGAACCGGCGTGGGATAAACAATGATCGAGTGAGTCGGCCATTATTAGGCGCACAGGTGATTATCGATTTCCAGGAGGGGGGAGGGTGTTCATCGGGGGTGTTTCGTCCGGCGGAAGAGGTGCATTATGCAGGCCAATAATAAGTCAGACTTGAACCACCGAGGGGAGGCGATTGTTCGATAATGGCTATTTTCTTAAACGTTTCAATTAGTCGGAATTTTTCTAAAGCCTTCTTTTTTAACCCGTTTTGGTACGACAGTCGGTAACTACTCTGTGATGTTCTGTCACTCTCGGACAAATTGGCTGTCATCTTCCCTAAAAGGGAAAATAAGTGTCCAGCTCTGGTTTTTAAATTTGAGAGTGCTGTTGAACATTTATCACTTCAAAACGTTAAAACTTGAGCCATTTTTGTTTACAGTTAACATTCCTCCTTTGTAACGAGTGATTATTTATCAGAAAAACTTATTTAAACACGAACTTGTTTCTATAATTGACACGATTTTCTTTATCCAGCCAACGTTTCGATCTTTATTGAGATCATCTTCAGGGCCTGGATTTACGAACATTGTTTAAATTTAACAAAAACATGTAGGATGTGATAAAAAGTGAATTTATACAATGAAAATAAATATTTTTTTTATATTCAATCAAAGTATTTCTACTCACTCAAAGTCTTTCAGAAAACAAACACTTTGAGTGAGCAGAAATACTTCGATTGAATATTAAAAAAATATTTATTTGCATTGTATAAATTCACTTTTTTACACACCCTACATGTTTTTGTTAAATTTAAACAATGTTCGTAAATCCGAGGCCCTGAAGATGATCTCAATAAAGATCGAAACGTTGGCACGATAAAGGAAATGCTTTTCTGAAAACTTCGGATTCGTTAAATTTTAGTGAAACTTTTTGTAAATCGAGGGAGAGAGAGAGAGAGAGAGAGAGGGAGAGAGAGAGAAAGAGAGAGAGAGAGAGAGGGAGATGGAGAGAGAGAAAGAGGGAGCGAGAAAGAGAGAGGCCATGTTTGTACACAGGTATGCATGGCCAGATTTGAGCTTACATAAATTAGCGATTAGCGATAGGTTTATTTTCTTGTCGAGTTATATGTTAATGATACGATTAATGATCAGATCATGTCAATTATAGAAATGATGAGCTTATCACTTCTCGCATTCCACCTGCAATTCAAGCTTTCGTACTTTACGATATATAACCTTAAGAGCCGAGGCCTGGAAAATCTGGTGTTGGCAGTACGCGGTCACACCTCGATCTTATCCGTCCAGCCGCCAAGGATGGGCTGCAGGGACTATCAAGAGCTAGGTCACGCTAAAAATACATTCACTCTCAACACAAGCTAGGGATACAGAACTCTCATTACATAAGTTGAATTCAATCAGTTCCAAACTTACCATTCACTCACTTAGGGTGGTGGTATAGTGGATATTCGTCTGTCACCCTTTCTTCCCATTAAATGACTAACCTATTTTAGGGTCAATGGTGTGTGCAAAATTCCGCCATCGACTCTCTCACATTACACTATCACGCTAAAAATACATACACTTTCAACATACGCTAAGGATCTCTCTCTCTCTTTCTCTCTCTCCCTCTCTCTCTCTCTCTCTCTCTCTCCCTCGATCTACAAAAAGTTTCACTAAAATTTAACGAATCCGAAGTTTTCGGAAAAGCATTTCCTTTATCGTGCCAACGTTTCGATCTTTATTGAGATCATCTTCAGGGCCTCGGATTTACGAACATTGTTTAAATTTAACAAAAATATGTAGGGTGTGTAAAAAAGTGAATTTATACAATGCAAATAAATATTTTTTTAATATTCAATCGAAGTATTTCTACTCACTCAAAGTGTTTGTTTTCTGAAAGACTTTGAGTGAGTAGAAATACTTTGATTGAATATAAAAAAAATATTTATTTTCATTGTATAAATTCACTTTTTACCACATCCTACATGTTTTTGTTAAATTTAAACAATGTTCGTAAATCCAGGCCCTGAAGATGATCTCAATAAAGATCGAAACGTTGGCTGGATAAAGAAAATGTTTTTCTGAAACCTACATCACACCAGACCGCATCTCACGATTTCTGAATAATCATCGACAAACGTTCACTAATCGTCACACATTTTTTTTTTCAACAAAACTACTCTACTGAAGCGTCTTTTGATTTTTGTAACATTTTATATGTCTAATATATAATACGGCTATCCTTCAAAAGCATATGAAGATAAAGGCATGAAAAACAAGATTTGCACTTAACTTATTATAAGTAAGTGTAATATATTAATTGGTCAAGCGGACCACGAAATTGGTGAATTTAATGATTTAAAATGAAGTATACTTCACTAAAGCTCTCCGTGGCCATTTCATTTGTCTTCGAGAATCCAATCCGATTACAAGACATTTGAAAAATGGCAAAAAGGAGGGAAATTCAAAAGGTGCGTTTGAGATGGGAAGTTAGTGTCCGAGTGGATCGAGGTCACGATAGCTCAAGTGGTAGAGCAGCGGCGTATCATGCCGAAGATCGTGGGTTCGAATCCCGCTCATGCCATCGACTTTTTTATCTCAACTATAAACTTTAATTAATTGTAATATATTAATTGGTCAAGCGGACCACGAAATTAGTGAACTTATTATAAGTATCGAGCAGAGTACTCTGGAGACAAGGCATAACATCAAAAGCAAAAATGGCAACCTACCACGCAATAATACGAGCTATATTATCCTATGACATCCAGCTTCGTGGTTTCGAGGAGTATGAGGCTGTAGAAGGCTACTTAAGTCTTAATATATCTATTAAAAGGCTATTTTGTTTGCCCAGATGTGTGCCCAGTTACGTGATCCATCTGGAGATGGAGTTGAATGCTTTCTTTAAGTATACTCTAACCCTGCATATGAATTACGCTCCTGCGAATAGCTTCAGTGTCTCCAACCCGCTTACCAAAAATACTGGCTATCGTATCAACTAAGGCGGAAACTTTCTGGACGGCAGAGGAGCAAGGAAGTTGGCCGTTTAAATACAAAATGCAAAAAGGAAATTAAAAGCGTCCTGTCACATGAAAATATGTCGCAAAAATTACTATATATTAAAAGAAAATGATGGGTTAAAAGTTCGCGAGCTGGAAGAATATGCTAGGGAGGGTCTATACTCGCAAGATGGATATTTAATCTGAAGACAGAAACATTAAACATAAATTCTACGCGGTATGAAGAAGATGGAGGAAGAAGGTCCTTTTGTGCATTGTGCAACAAAGGAGAAGAGAGGATATCTTTCCTTTTATATGCAATTGCTCCGTTAAGCCTGAGTTTCGTTGGCAAATTTTTGAAAATGGAAAAAAGAAAGACGTTTTATTTTATTATTTTGATTGCTGTCAGATTTGTCTAACGGTTTCAACAATCATGTCATATTACGTTTATTTTATTAATAGCATTTTACGAAATGGAAAATGTAAATTTGTAAAAGCATTTATTTACAACACACTACTTTGAATTTGTCATATAACACGATCGTGCCTATTTACTTTCTTCTTGAAAAAAAAAAAATCGACTGAAATGTATAACTTTGAAATACATTTACTACGAAATTGAAAATGTTATATTGTCCTTTTGTAAGGTGCGTATAGCTTTTATAGCTCCCGAATTAGTCAGATTGAGCTTGACCAGAATAAATTTTTCCGATTTGTTTCTTATAAATTTAAAATCTATGGGGATCGTCATATTTATGAAACAATTCTAAGGGCATTGAGGTTGCATAGATTATGCACTAGAAGACTGGTGTGTGACTTTGTTTTGTTTTTTGTAAAAATTGTTAAAATTACACGCTTAAAGTTACATTAAAATCGCTGACACCACGTATGTACATTTCCCTGTTTTCGAAAAGCTGGTCATCTTAAAAAATTGTTCAAATATAAATTTCAAATGAGATTCCTCCTCTAGTAGAGAAAGATTTCGGTATCGGACATGTATATTCGCCCGTATCTAAAAAAACCGCCCCTAATGAGCTTTATCTTATCGGAGATTTTTTTCGTAAAACAATCTCTCCTTTCCTAATTTCGATTTCGGTTTAAAGCGTCTGATATTTTTGCCGCATTAACAAACAAATGTGCACGTATGCATGACTTATTAATTTTTTTTTCTTAAGTTAACAAGCGTTTTCTGATTGTAATCGTCCCCAATTCGGTGTCAAGGGGTCATCCCGATTGTTTTTTTTCCCTTTACGACGCCAGGTCTAATGGGATATAAATTCGACCTAATGGCCTTTCAGGAATCTATTCAGATAGATAGAAACTAATTTTTTGCCACCTAGACACAACAGGTTTCTTTTTATAGTTGAATCATTAAGTTATTTAGAAGAACCATTTTAACGTTAATCAAATATACAACTTCCTCATAGAAAATAATTATATAAAAAAAATACTAAAATTCACATGGAAATTTGTAAAACACAGCTCGTATAACATACAATAGTTGAAATAGAGAAACAATATAAAAATGGGAAAAAACCTTTTATCTAATGATACTTATGCGGTTCCAATTAATAAAAATATAACATTAAAAAACACTTAAGATATCCAAGATCAACACTGTTATGTAAATAGGTCCATTAGAAAAATTAATTTGACGCCTTAATATGATAAATAACTAGGAAAAAAAGCGTCCAGTCGCTTTATTTGACTTATAGTCAGATAATGGAATTGTTCGGTTTATTCGTAGGAAAAATTTGATTGAGGTGCTTTCTAATGTTTCTAATTGAAGAATGACATCGTTAAAAAATAATTAAAAATTGTTACGACAAAGCCATTTGATTAGGTTCAAGTTTTTTCACTTTCTCCCTGTTATTTTGTTGTTGTCGCGCTACAATTCCTACCAGCATCGTGCACATATAAATCATTTAGATCTAATCGAACCCTTTTAATTGAAACTGAAACAAAAACAAATAAAAGTAAAGAGCACACAAACTTATTCCAACCATCTGTTTTTATAATTTATTTGGTTTTTAAAATCTACTTCTC